CAGTGAACCAAAAGGTCAACAGTTCAAACCCACCAGCAGCTCCTCGGAAACCCTATACAGGGTCGCTATGAGTCAGAACTGACTCAATGGCACTTCACAACAACAACAATAATGAATATTTAAAAAAAAACTATTTTGTTGTTTTTGTTGAGCATATACACAGCAAAACATACACAGATTAAATGGTTTCCACATACACAATTCAACGATATTGATTGCATTCTTTGAGTTGTACACCCATTCTCTGAGTTGGTCCTCGCCCTTGAACATAAATGCACTGCCTCCTAAGGTCCCTATCAAATCTTTCTATTCAGCCCCATATGTTGTTGTTGTTGTTAAATGCCATCAAGTCAATTCTGACCCATAGCGACCCTGTATAGGGTTTCCGAGGAGCAGCTGGTGAGCTTGAACTGCCCCATATGGGTAGTCCTTAAAAGAACATAAAGCGTAAGTGAAGTTAAACTAAGGTTTAGTTCTAAGAAGACTTTCAAGCCAGTCACTTCATGCCTTTATAGGCTCCCCACCCCCAATTTAGGTAGCCAAGTAGCCAATGTGTAAGTTGCCGGTCCCTATCAAGGGGCTAGACTTGATCCTTGATGTGACGACTCCTTCCCTCTCTGTTGGTATTTTGAGCTACTACATCCATAAATATAGGTCAAGTTCATCAAATTGTAGCAATTTATACTTGCTTCCTTTATCAAATTTGCCATATAGGTAGTCCTTAAAAGAACATAAAGCGCAAGTGATGTTAAACTAAGGTTTAGCTCTAAAACGACTTCAGGGTACATTTTTGGTTTAAGGTTTAAAGATGATCTCAGGGCCATAGTTTCAGTGATTCGTCCAGCCTTCAGGACTGGAACCCATGAGAAGTTTAAATTCTGTTCTGCATTTGAATCTCCTTTTTGATCAGATCCCTTCTACAGAATCTTTGATCATAATATTCAGTAATGGTCTCATGGTTCAGTAATGGTCTCATGGTATTATATCTGGTCTCATGGCAAAGCAGGCAGATGTTCACAGAGGTGAATAGCCACACACTTCATTTCCTCCTTCTGGTCCCAACTCTCCTTCCTCTGTTATTCTAGGCAAATAGAAAGCAATTGTGCCTTGGATGGTCATTTGAAAGTGTGTAAGATCCTAGGTACGATGCAATGAACTAAGAGAACAGAAGTACTAAACACATTATTAGGCCAATTAAGTGCAGTGTTCCATGACACTAAACCTTGAAACAAAGGAATAAAATCCCATAAAGTGTGTGTTTGGTTGTACCTAAGCAACTTCAGCACCTACACTTTTGTGTGTGGTGGGGAGGGGGACGGGGAGGTGAGGAAGCAGTGATATTAACTGTTGCAAATATATCTATTGTGCAATTTTTGCCATTTCAACTTTTTACAGGTGTACAACATATTAACAGCAGTTAAAATAATCTACTGTGCCACTCTGCCCTTAAGCAATGTGACTTTTCCATCACCGTAAACCAAAACTCATTCTCCAGAAGTAGTAATCCCACTTTCCTCCTCCCAAAGAGTCTTGTTGGCATAGTGTTCAGAGCATTCCACTGCTAATCAAAAGGTCAGCGGTTCCAAGCCATTGACCTTTTCTACGCGAGAAACATGAAGCAGTCTGCTTCTGCAAATATGCACATCCCGTGCATGAGGTACTATGAGAAAATCTTTTGATCTCTCTGGAATCTTTCAAGGTAAACTGAGAATTAACCACTCTAAAAGAAGAAAATCAGTGTCTAGTGAAAGCTATGGGCTGGTCTAATAAAGCAAGGATCAAGAATTTCCCTGAGGGAGAGGCTTAGAACTTTAGAACCAAATACCTCATAGGATTTGTTTTTTTGTTTTGGTTTGGAGGTTTACAGTCATGATTTTGAGGGACATCACAATCAATTGAACTAATGCTGTTTCTCAGCCTATCTGCTATACCTCCTAGTTCACTGAGTAGTGACTGGGGTCTGTGGCCATTCAAGATACAACAATTGGTCTCCATTCACCTGAAGTAATAGAAGAAGAAGGAGAGTCTAGAATCAAAGGAGGAGGAAGTCAAATGAACAACTACTTCCTTTGCGATGAGACCAGAAGAATTGAATGGTGCCTTGTTGTTGTTGTTGTTGTTAGGTGCCATCGAGTTGGTACTGACCCATAATGACCTTATGCACAGCAGAACAAAACACTGCCCGATCCTGGGCCAACCTCACTACTGTTGCCACGCTTGAGTCCATCGATGCTGCCACTTG